GTATTTGGAAATCGAGAGAGGGGCTCCAAAGTTGAGGAGGAGACATGGTGAGAAAGTGAGTGAGCAATACGCTGTGTTTAGGGAAGAGTTCCTGAAGGTAGCTGGGAATGGGAGATGGAGTTGGAGGAGACCGTTGATCACACATTTCACCGGTTGTCAGCCTTGTAGCGGTGACCATAATCAGATGTATGCTGGCGAGTCTTGTTGGAAAGGGATGGTCAAAGCTTTGAACTTTGCTGATAATCAGGTGTTGCGTAACTATGGCTTCATGCACCAGGATCTACATGATTCCTCCACCGTCACTGAAGTCCCCTTTGATTACCCCGCTGATGAAATTCCATGGTAAAACACAACAAAACATCAAAACGGAATGGTTTTTCAGTATTTTATTACCATGTAAAAGTGTCTGATTTCAATTATATTTTTTCTAAAGGTGGGGGACTCGGGTGTTGAAGTAATGCATGATTGAAGGATAATATTGTTTACTTGTATGTTGAGTAGGTGTAGATTAAGGGTAGGGTTGTAAAATCGGGTAATCGTTCAGGTTTCAGTCGGATCCTGGCAGGTCGAGTAAAATCGGATACAAGTCAAGTCAGGTAAATTTGACACCAGATCCATATCGGGTTCAGGTCAGGTCAAATCAGTTCAGGTTATTTTCAGGTTGATTTGACACCAGATCCAGATCGGGTTCAGGTCAGGTCATTTTCAGTTCGGATCGTTTTCAGTTCAGGTCAAAACAGTTCAGGTCCGAAGCAGTTAAAAAGCAGGTTAATTCAGGTTCGGATAGACTTCAGGCGGATCTCGTTCAGATCGGGTCACATCATTGGCAGATTAAATTCAGGTCGGATCTCTATCAGATACGGATTGAGTTTAAATTGGGTTAATTTTTATTTTTAAATTAATTATTTTCGTTTTTCGCGAACGTTGAATTGCAATTTGTAATTGTATATGATTTAGAGTAAATTACTAAGAATATAAATAATCATGGTTCAATTTTATGAAAAATACAAATTTAAGAATTAAATTGAACAAATATGAAATTACAAATAAAAATTTAAATAAATTAAACAACACACATTGATGAGGGATCAAATTGAAATAATTTTAAATTTTGAGGTTGAAATTAATATAAAAAAGTACTAAATTATATCCCTTTAAAAAGTTATGGGCCAATTAAAAAATAGAATTAAGTAATAAGTATAGATCAATTTCATATGCAAATAAAATTTGGAGTACTAAATTGAACAAATATGAAATTACAAATAAAAATTTAAATAAATTAAACAACACACATTGATGAGGGATCAAATCGAAATGATTTTAAATTGTGAGGTTGAAATTAATACAAAAATGTACTAAATTATACTCATTTAAAAAGTTATGGGCCAATTAATAAATAGAAATAAGTAATAAGTTGAGAAAAAAAGTAAAACAACTAATATAGATATATAATATAAACTATATAGTTTATATTAGGGGTGTATTCGGTTCGGTTCGGTTCGGTTTTTTACCAAAAACTGAACCGAACCGAAATAAACGGGTTTTCAATATTTAAACCGAAACCGAAACCGAATAGTTAAAAAATCGAAATCGGTTTTTTCGGTTCGGTTCGGGTTTTTTAACGGTTCGGGTTTTTCGGTTCGGGTTTTCGGGTTTTCAATGAAAAAATCACTTGAAACTATATTTTTTTTACAAAAATTGCCTATTCGGTTCAATATGGAACAAATGGGTTCCATATGGAAAACCCGAACCGAATCAAAAAAATGAAGCCTTTAAACCGAACCAAAACCGAACCGTTTAAAGCCAAACCGATCCGAACTGAACCGTTTTACTAGGTTCGTGTCGGTTTTTCGGTTTTCTCGGTTTCGTTGCTCACCCCTAATTTATATATAAAGTATATGTATTATATATAAAACTATAGTTTACATATTATATAAAGTATAAACTATATACCATGTTTAAAACTATAATATATAGTTATATATGAATTATTGAACTATATAGAAACTACATTTATATATAAATTATATGAATATATATAAAATATACAATTTTATTTATATTTATGTATAATTATATATAATATATTGTATAAATTTATAGTTTATTAATATAAATTATATAGTTTATATATATATATATAGTATATATGATTTAGGGTTTAGGGTTTATATTTATATTTATATAAACTACATACTATAATTTATACTTATATATTATATTTTATACTATTTATATAAACTATAGTTTATATTTATATACTATATATATGAACTATAGTTTACATGAACTATATATATAAATATATACTGAGGTTGATATTTATATATGAACTATAGTTTACATATGAACTATATATATAAATATATATATACTAAGGTTGATATTTATATATTAACTATAGTTTACATATAAACTATATAGTTTATATACTAACTATAGTTTACATATAAACTATAGTTGATATTACATATGAACTATAATTTACATATGAACTATATATATAAACTATATAGTTTACATATGAACTATATATAGTTTATTAGTGAATATATACTATTATATACTATATACTATATAAAAACTATAGTTTATTTATATACTACATACTATAGTTTATATTTATACTATATATTATATATATAACTATATACTATAGTATAATTTACATATATGAATATATAAAAATCCTAAACCCTAAACCCTAAAACTATACATTATATAGTTTATTAGTATATAAACTATAGATATATAGACTATATGGTATATAAAATATGCATTATATAGTTCACTAGTATATATAAACTATACTATATAGTTCATTAGTATATATAAACTATATTTGTATAGTTCATTAGTATATATAACCTATAGTATAGATATATACAAACTATATATTATATAGTTCATTAGTATATAAATTTATAGTATATATAAACTATATATTAATTTATTAATATAAATATATTAATTGAAAGAATTGAAAAATATATAATGATCAAATTGAACAAATTTTAAATATGAAGCTTAAATTAATAAATTGTAACATTAAATTTGGATTAAATTGAAAAAAGGTTGAAATATGAAGATTAAATTAATATATTAAATCATTAAATTTGAACTAAATTGAATAAATTTAAAACTAAGAGACAACACTACAATATCAAATAAAGTTAAAAAGCCGCGGGTTTTTCCCTCGCTTAAGCACAAGGCTACGCGCCAAAATCAGCATCATTTCTCGTCAAATAATGTCTCTTTTCTCCAACCAGCAGTCCGTTTCATTACTTGAGTCTCAGAAAAATTCCCCTCGTTTTTTGCCGCTCTTCTTCTCTTTGCCATGGCTTCTGATTCTTCTCCTGCTAATTTTAACAACGGTTACTCTCTTCTACTCTTCAAAGCTGATTTTATATATTTGAAGTGTAATTTTTGGGTTGTTATTATTTTTAAATCTAGAGATAATGATTGTTTAGGAGCATGAGAGATAATGATTGTTTGCCTGGTAGTGCTGTTATAATCTGATGATTCAGGGGTTTCTTCAGAGGTCGAAGAGTTTGAATCACCCAAATACAAAACCACGTAAAGCAACGATCTCGCGTTTGGCGACTGCAGTTCATGGTCAGGTATGTGGGCGGTTCCCTTGAAAATCTCTCGAAAATACATATCTTCGGATGTTTGATCACGGAAGTTTATTTCCTTTTTTATGTTATTTTGATCAGCAATTCCAGGCAGTTGAGAGAAATGGCAGATCTGCTGAAGAATGACAGATTCCCAGATGATTTGTTGGTTCTATCATGTGAAGAAGATTGTGAATTGTATTCCTTTCCTCGAAAAAGGTAATAAGGGTTCTGTAAATTAGTTGATTTCAGTTCGAATGTTTTTATTTGAGTGTTTTGCCGTTACGTTATGCTTTCAGAGGCAGCGATTTACAGTTCAGAGCTGTTACTAAATGGAATAGTTGTCATATATATATACATATATATATATATATATATATATATATATATATATATATATATATGTATATATATAATCCGAGGTCGAATTTAGTATCTGTAGATTGATTTTTGGAGCGAGACTTGTTTATTCTGAGAAAGAACTGGGGAAAAGTGAAAGGGAAGAACTGAAATCAAAATCAACAACCAGCTGAGAAAATCATCAACAATCCTCTTCTTACCTGTTACTGTAGCCCATTATTTAATCTTCATATCTGAGGTATATTCTCTGTTATAGTTACCCATTTATTTATGTTTTGGTTATTGCTTTGATGAAATGGGTTGTTAATTGGTTGTTTATTTGATGCTTTTGATAGATCCATAATCCATGTTCTAGAATGCTCATAAAAGGGTTTCTTTATTGCTTTTTAACGAATGAATATGCATTTGATTCTAATATGGTGGTTTTGTTTGATGCGTTTTGTTCAACCTGTGTTCTAGTTTTTGTTTTGGTTTGCTGTATTGTAACATCAATAAATTTAATATATTTTACCATATAAAGCGCCTAACCGAGTTGAGTTTTGTTGCAGAGAAATCAGTGAGTTGTCGTCGGATGGGTGTTTCCTTTTCCTGCCCATTTGCTAAATGCAGTGATGTGGAGAATGGCTTAGAATCCATCACTGTGAAGTCCATTAGCTTTGGTGATGATGGAGTCAGAACCTCTTAGATCCATCACTTCCACCTTATTTTTGGATCTCATCTTACGATCTAATAAATCAATTTTGATTTGAAATGCTTCATAGATAGTGTAAAGATTTCCACTTGCAAATGAGTATTTAGTTCTATTTTCAGTTTAGTTAGTGGACTTTAAACATTAAGGAAACACTTAAATGTTATATATGTTTCATCTTTCAAGTGATCTTTTGAGAAGATTTTTCTTCTGGTACCTCTGCACAAAGTGAGAGTCTTGTTGATGGTAAAGTTGAAAACATGGTGTATAACATCTTTGAAAACCTAAAATTAAGGGGGGAAATCGTGAAAACAATATCCCCTGTGCAACTAATTGGAAGCTCTACCTTTCTTCATTCCGATGACTGTTTCCTGCCAAGCTGAGCTCGTATTCAGCACCGATGAAAATATTGTAGGTGAATCCTCAACACTTAACTGCAAAAGCTTGAAACACTTGGCTGGTCTCAATTGTCAACTCCATCAGGTGCCTCTCTGTTCCTTTCTTTCCTTAAAATGCATATCACTTGGTTGTACGGTTTAGGAATATAATAGTAACAATATTTATTGCGTTAACACATTAGTAGTTTTATGATCCTCCTTATTGCATTTTAAGTATGTTACTCTTACCTTCATGGTATGCTTGTCATGAACAATGTGATTACATGAACATCTTCTCTGCAGGGATAGCAGTGGTAGAGCTGGTGACTATTCCCAGGATGGAAGGTACCCTTCACGTATATGAGAAGTTGTTCAAGCAATTTTGATATCCTCTTATGTTGAAATATGCAAATTATTTAATCATATATGTTGAAAGTAACTTTTCTGGTCTTGTTGCTACACCAGGCTGTAATCATTTATATGTTGCTATAGTAAGGGTTTGGTAAAGTCGGAAATGTTTGGCACTGTTGGCCATCGAATTCCCTTTGGCTTTACCACTGATTGTATGTTTTCTTAATACAGGATGCTTGTTGAATCGATGCAACGATGCTTGTTGAATTGGTACATTGATGCTTGATGTTGCTGCTGTTTATTACTCACTGATGTCTTGTAAATTTGTTGTTGGTATGACTTAAATCAATTTTAGAACCTTATAAATTCTTATCTAAATAGTTACTCATGTGAATTATGGTGACATTTTGGCTTTAAAGCTAGAAAGTTGTCCATAATTAAACATGTTCGTAACATTTAGGTATAAAAGCTCGATGATGATATTTTCTAGTAGTATAGTTAGGCTTAGCCTTGTAAAACATTAGCTATAAGATCGAGAGTATTTATTTCAACAAAATTTATTTTGTTTAGTTGATTTTATTGTAATTTTAGTGTTTTCAAGTGTAATAAAATTACCTTCATTTATAAATATTTTTTAGTATTTATAATGTTATTCAAGTTTTTTAATCTTAAAAGTTCATCATTTCGATTAATATTTTTGATTTTAAAATTTCAAGTTAAGTTACTTAAATTATTATCAATTTTCACATTAAAAGTAAATTAGATTTATGAATATTTAACTCAGGTAATATAATTTAAAATAAAATTCATAAGATAATATTTAAATTTAATTTATTGATTATAAAAAATTTATAATATAATAAAATAAAGAAGTTATGAATTGGAATTTACATAAAAATCAAATTTATAATACAAATTATAATAATATAAAACTAAATTTTAATGTAATCATATTAATTAATCATAATAATTTATGATAAAATTTCAAAAGTAACCAATTAATTTAATTATTATAATAATTTAATTATCATTAGTTTATTATAAATTTAAAATAATATAATTATATTAATTGTAACTTCACTTATAAGTCAGGATAATATTATATCACTTAACAACATGTCAGATCATTTACAGGTTGAGTTAATTACAGGTCAGGTTCATAACAGGTCAGGTTGAAAATAGATCGGGTAATACCAGTTATTTACCAGGTTAATATCGGGTTCGGGTTCATATCAGTCGGATGCAGTTCGGGTTCGGGTATCATATTTTCGGTTCAATTCAGGTTCAGGTCGTTCTCAGGTCGGATGCAGGTCGGGTTCAGATCCACAATTTTCAGGTCCAACTCGGGTTCAGGTCAACACCAGTTTCGACTCAAGTCGGTTTCGGATCGTCACAGCGCAGGTCAAAAACAATTTTAACTCGAGTCAGTTTCAGTCAGTTTTACAGGCCGGGTCAGCTTTTTACACCCCTAATTAAGGGTATTAAAAGGATGGTTTTCGGTTGTAATCAATGTTGGGGAAATCGAGTTATATCCCACACGAACGTAGTTTTAAAATTGACCTAAAATGTCAAGATCAGAACCACCAAAGGTTGCATAGTGGATAAACCTGTCAAACTATTGAATATTAAAACACAATGGAAAAATCGAATAAAAACAATAAAGGAGAGAACACACCAAATTTAAGAGGTTCAACGAGAATATCGTCTACTCCTCGGGCGCTACACCGGATGATAACTTTACTATCAACAAAATATTACAACAAATGGAATTCTTTAGAATTCCCAAAGTGAGGGAATGAAGAAAACAAATGGAAGAGAGAACTTGTTTTGAGATGATTTCTAATGGAAATACTTAGGCATATTTATAGTTGAGTTTTAAGGACTAAACTTATAAATAACCTAATATTTTAGGGATCAAATATGGAATTCTCATGTTCAAAGTTTGACCACCAACCAAGATGAAATTTTCAATAAGTTGGCCGCCAACCAAGATGAAATTTCCAACTTGCAACATAATTTCAAGCCAAATCTAACAAATCTCCACCTTGGCTTGAAATAACCAAGCCTACTCAACTTCTTTAACTCCCTAAATTTGTAGTGCCTCTAATTGCGCTCACAAGCGCCACATACCTGAAGGTGTTCATACTTTCAGGATGTTAATCAAGTTCAAACAATGATTGAACTTGATTACTGTTACCACCTTGGTCATCATATCTGCAGGATTTTCTGATGTCACAATTTTCTGAAGTATAATATTTTCTTCTTCAAAGATCTCCTGCACAAAGTAATACCTCACGTCGATATGCTTAGTCCTTGAATGGTAGACTTGATTTTTCGCTAAGTGAATAACGCTCTGACTGTCACAATAGAGACTAATGTGACTTTGAACAACTCCCAAGTCTTTCATCAACCCGTTAAGCCAAATTGCTTCCTTTACAGCCTCTGAAACTGCAATGTATTCTGCCTCTGTAGTAGACAATGCCACCGTAGATTGCAATGTAGACTTCCAACTTACTGGGGCTTTATCAAGAGTAAACAAATACCCAGTAGTTGATTGAAGCTTATCCAAATCACCAGCATATCCAACCACACACTGACCAAGTGCTTCATCATGTTCAAAAACTAAACCAACATCCACGGTTTGTTGGAGATACCGTAGAATCCATTTCACAGTTTGCCAATGTCCTTCTCTAGGATCATGCATGTACCTGCTCATAACTCCAACTGCTTGTGAAATGTCAGGATGCGTACACACCATTGCATACATCAAGCTCCTAACTGCATTAGCATATGGAACTTTTGCCATATACTCTCGTTCTTCGTTAGTTTTAGGAGATAATTGAGAACTAAGTTTCAAATGAGAAGCCAGTGGGATACTTAAATGTTTGGTATTTTCATTCATGCCAAAACATTGTAATACCTTTCTCAGATATTGCTTCTGTGTTAAACAAAGATTCCCTCTCTGTCTATCTTTGCTTATCTCCATACCAAGAATCTTCTTGGCCTCACCTAGATCTTTCATCTCAAACTCTTGATTCAACTGAGCCTTTAATTTTGTCTATCTCCTTTTGACTCTTCGAAGCGATAAACATATCGTCAACGTACAAGAGAAGATAAATGAAAGATCCATCTTTGAGCTTTTGCAAATACACACAATTATCATATTTGCTTCTAGTGTACTTTTGACTCCTCATAAAGCTATCAAATCGCTTGTACCACTGCCTCGGAGATTGCTTCAATCCATATAGCGATTTGTTCATCTTACAAACCCATTTCTCACAACCACCATCTTTGTATCCTTCTGACTGATTCATATAGATCTCATATTCTAAATCACCGTGCAAGAAAGCCATCTTTACATCAAGTTGAGCTAGCTCCAAATTCAACTGTGCTACCAAGGCCGACAATATTCTAATGGAGGAATGCTTCACAATAAGGGAAAATACTTCATTGTAGTCGATTCCCTCCTTTTGAGCGTAGCCTTTAGCTACCAACCGTGCCTTGTAGAAAACATCTTTCTTGCTATGAGATCCATCTTTCTTTGCAAATACCCACTTGCATCCAATTGCTCTTTTACCTTTCAGTAATTGTGCCAGTTTCCAAGTGTTGTTCTTTTGGAGAGATTGCATTTCTTCATCCATGACACTTTTCCACTTATCACTTTCCAAGCTTTATATTGTTTCTTGGTAAGTGATAGGGATATCATCATCAACAATTGGAAGAGCATAGGCCATATCAACAAATCGAGCTGGTCTACGAATTTCTTTCCTTGGCCTTGTAACTGCAAGTGGTTCTAGTGTCTCCAATGGTTCTTGGGTTTGAACCTCTTCATATTCTGATTCTTCTATTGGAGTTGAAGAATCAGCTACATCAACTTATGAGATCATCATCTACTGAAACTCTACCTGTTTTGGAGTATGCTCCACCTACTGCGAAGTACTACTTGTCTGGACAGCTTCATTTGTTACCTTCTTTACTAGGGCATATTCATTAAAGGTAACATCTCTGCTACAAATTATCTTCTTGGTGTTTAAACACCAAAGGCGGAATCCCTTCACACCATGGGTGATTCCAATAAATAGAGCATTCTTTGCTCTCGGATCAAGCTTGGATTCCTTCATATGATAATGAACAGTTGATCCAAATACATGTAAGGAATCATAATCAGTAGTAGGTTTTCCATACCATACCTCCAATGGTGTTTTTCCTCCTATCGCTGATGACGACAGACGATTTATGAGATGGTCAGCATATGTCGCAGCCTCAGCCCAAAATGCCTTGCCTAACCTAGCATTAGACAATATATATCTAACTTTCTCCAATAATGTTCGATTCATACGCTCTACCACCCCATTCTGTTGTGGTATATTTCTAACGGTGAAGTGTCGAACAATACCATACTCATGACAAACGTCAAAAGAATGGGTCACACTTATATTCCCCTCCATTGTCCGACCTAAGACGTTTGATCTTTCTACCAGTCTGGTTCTCGATCATATTTTTCCATTTAAGGAAAATTCGAAGCACTTCATCTTTAGACTTCATCGGATACACCCAAACTCTTCTGGAAAAGTCATCTACAAAAGTTACAAAATAATGGTTTCCTCTCAAAGACGATGTCTTTGAAGGACCCCATACATCTGAGTGTATATATTCCATAATACCTTTTGTATTATGTATAGTGGTGCCAAACTTCACTCTCTTCTGCTTTCCCAGAACACAATGCTCGCAAAAGTTCAATTTGCAAGCCTTTGCACTTTTCAACAATCCTTTCTTTGCCAGAATTTGCAAGGATTTCTCACCAGCATGTCCCAATCGCATATGCCACAACTGGGTTGCGTCCAAATCATCACCTCCGGAAGCTATTGCAACTGCTCCAATAATTGTACTACCTTGGTAGTAATACAAATTATTTTTCCTGATGCCCTTCATGTAACATCCTGAAATCCGGGTTAGTGACTAAAATGAGAATTTTTAAAATTTGGGGATTAATTTAGGAAAATTAAAAGTTTAAGGATTTAAATAGGAGTATTTTATTATTGGATAAAAGGGTAAATATGAGATGATTATAAGGGTATTATGGTAATTTAGCTTGGAAGATATTTTATCTCCCTTATTTAGGGAGATAACACGTGTGAAAGAGGAAAAAACTTCAGAAGCTTATCTTCTTTTTTTCTTCTTCTTCCTCTCGTGGCTCCAGCTCCCAAAGGTAAGTTGATTTAATTGGTTAATTTCTGGAATTTATGGGTTGGGTTGGAATAATTAGGTGTTATATAAGCTTAAAGAAAGCTTATATAACATTAAAACACCAAG